GGTTTTTTTTTTTTCTTCTTTGAAGAATTTTAGTCACTCCAATCTTGTTAGTTATATCTTATATCCTTAATTTTTCATTTTCTTGATTCTTCAGAGTGAAGGGGATTAGCTATGGCATCCGTGACATCTTCGCAATTCGTGTCCTACATACATGGAGGAGCAACTTCATTGGACTCGAAAACCAATTCGAGTCAGATTGGCCTCATGACCCAACCTGTAACTCACATTGGTCTGAGATCTGTCCATAACCTTCAAATGAAAAGCAAAAAGGTAAAACCAAACTCGAAACACTCAACAAGCGTGATAAAATCGACCCATAATAAAAGATCTCAAGGGAAAATCATTTGTGGAGCTGGAATGAACTTGGTTTTTATATCGGCTGAGTGCGGTCCGTGGAGCAAAACTGGCGGGCTCGGTGATGTTGTTGGGGGACTTCCTCCGGCTATGGCTGTAAGCATCATAAAATTTTCGAACGAGCTTTCAAAAATTATGTTGTGCTACTGATTTAACAAAATGCCTTTATCTGTTGTCTTAGGCAAACGGGCACAGAGTGATGACAGTTTCTCCGCGTTATGATCAGTACAAAGATGCTTGGGATACTTGTGTTCATGTCGAGGTTTAATTATCTCTTTAGTTTATTTATTTATTTATTTGTTTACTTTTGATTGTTGATGTTTGAAGAAAATGAATAGAACGTGCTATTGGTGATCTCTGTTGTAGATCAGAGTTGGAGATAAAATCGAGACTGTCAGATTCTTCCACTGCTACAAGCGTGGGGTTGACCGTGTTTTTGTTGATCATCCGATGTTTTTGGAGAAGGTTTGTATCACGTGTTGAGACAAACATTACGTGGCGATTTGTTTTGCTGAATATTTTGTTATAATTTTTGTTTCTTGTGAAGGTGTGGGGAAAAACCAAATCGAAGATTTATGGTCCTAATGCTGGTACGGATTACCCGGACAACCAATTGCGGTTCAGCTTACTGTGTCAGGTGGGCTTTTCTTTTCTCCTCTTAGCGATTTAAACGAACCGCTATTCTGTAAAAGGATTTTTTTGCTGTTAGTAGTCTATGAAGCTACAGCTCATGTAGTTTCATGTAAAAAGCATTTAACGTGTTTTCTTCACAATTTTAGGCTGCTTTGGAGGCTCCTAGAGTTTTGAACCTAACCAGCAGCAAATACTTCTCAGGACCATATGGTAATATACTGAATTTGGCTTAAAATAAATTTTTACGCTCAGATCAGGAGTTTTTTTTGGCTCTATACATAATTTCTTGTATCTTTTTAGGCGAGGATGTTATTTTCATTGCCAATGATTGGCACACTGCTTTGCTTCCTTGCTACCTGAAGACCTTATACCAATCAAGGGGAATTTACATGCATGCCAAGGTAATAAATAAGTAAATTGAAGTTCGTACTCGAGTGTGTTGTTCAAAGTTTATTCTGGTATAACATTCAAAATTTTTGCTAATAATCTGACTTTTTTCTTTTTTCTTTTCTTTTTTATTTTTTTTGTCTTTTCTCTCTCTGTAAGGTTGCCTTCTGTATCCACAACATTGCCTATCAGGGAAGATTCGCGTTTGCAGACTTCAACCAACTCAACTTACCTGATCAGTACAAAAGCTCCTTCGATTTCATGGACGGGTAAGAGCGAAAATTTCCTATCTATTTCTGAATAAGTGAATTCGGGAGCATTATATTAGTAGTGATGACAAATAAATTTTAAATTTTCACCGTTTTATTAATGCAGGTATGAGAAGCCTGTGAAGGGAAGGAAAATCAATTGGATGAAAGCTGGAATCTTGGAATCAGATAGAGTTCTTACCGTGAGCCCTTACTATGCTCAAGAACTCATTTCCGGTGTCGATAAAGGAGTCGAATTGGATAATATCCTCCGTAAGACTTGCGTTACGGGTATCGTGAATGGCATGGATACTCAAGAATGGAATCCAGCAACAGATAAATTCATCAACTGTAACTATGATATCACCACCGTAAGAACAAATTTTTACGTCCTTACGATATTAACGTTGAAAAAAACGTTAATGAACAAATATATATGTGTGTAAATTACTAAATTTCAGGTTACAGATGCTAAGCCTCTGTTGAAAGAATCTCTTCAAGCAGAAGTCGGTTTGCCTGTCGATCGAGACATACCCGTCATCGGTTTTATTGGCAGACTCGAGGAACAGAAAGGCTCGGATATTCTTGTTGAGGCTATTTCGAAATTTATTGGGATGAATGTCCAGATTATCATTCTTGTAAAAGCTTGCACTCCTTTTTTTTTTTTTTTCATCATTCTTGAATATAAAATAAAATAAAATAAATAATCGAACTGCTATTGATTTGTCGTGCACTATGTATCTTATCAAGGGAACTGGTAAGAAGAGGTTCGAGCAGCAGATTGAGCAGCTTGAGGTATTATACCCTGGTAAAGCTATAGGGATTGCTAAATTCAACGTGCCTTTGGCCCACATGATAACTGCTGGTGCTGATTTTATGTTGATCCCAAGTAGATTCGAGCCTTGTGGCCTCATTCAGTTACATGCCATGCGATATGGAACGGTGAGCAAGAGCATCCAATATTATTCAATATTTTTCTTTTTCACTGGTCATATGTTTGTAATAATGTCGAAGAAAATAATGCGTTTTTCTAATATGGAAACTTTTCTGATTAGATACCCATTTGTGCTTCGACTGGTGGCCTTGTCGACACCGTGAAAGAAGGATTTACTGGGTTCCATATGGGAGATTTTAATGTCGAGGTATGTTTAATTAACCTCTGTTTTCTTTCTTTCTTTCTTTTTTTTCGAAGATGCCAAAAAGTTTGCTCTATGGTTTTTTTCATTATGCAGTGTGCCACAATTGACCCTGCGGACGTGCTAAAAATAGTAAAAACTGTTGGTAGAGCTCTAGCCATGTATGGTACACTTGCCTTCAAAGAAATGATCCAAAACTGCATGTCACAGGATCTTTCTTGGAAGGTACCCATCATCAACATAATCAATCAATTACAATTTTTTTCTTTTTTTAAAAAATCGAGCGAATATTACAACTCATCATCGGTTTTGAACAGGGACCTGCAAAGGAATGGGAAAAGCTGCTTCTGAGCCTGGGTGCTGCCGGTAGTGAGCCCGGCATTGAAGGTGAGGAAATTGCACCACTCGCAAAGGAAAACGTTGCAACACCTTGAAAATTTGGCTGCATTAATTAATTATTCGACTCTACGCTTCTCCTAAGCCCTAAGGTTGTGTTTGGCTGACATATATCTTAGTGAAAATGGTTGTAATAACATGCACGCGACCCTTGTATCGAAAGCCCAGATGGCTTTCGATGTGAAGAGTTGAGCGTAATCGTGAGTGTGCAAAGGCCGAGAAGTTTTAATAATAGGATGATCTTCGAGTATGAGGCGGGTGATGTGAGTATAGGTTTTATCGTTCGAGTGATCACTAACAGATGTAAGCTTTTTTTACAGGGTGTGTTTTGAGCACCATGTGGAGAATAACTAAATAAGTTCTTGACTGTGATGTGTTGGTTTGAGCTTGTGCACACAATCTGCATTCTGCAAATTTTTTGGCAGTTCATTATTGTCATAGGGGAAGTTAGTCAATGGATGAAAGGTAAATTACAATATATGATATAGTTTGCAGGATATAAGGTTATTTCTGTAACTTGAATACTTCATATTTGGTATTTGCAAAAACACATTACAAGGTACTAGCAAAAAAAAGTTAGTATTTTTTAGAATATTTGACAAAAAAATGTAATTATCGATTCGTAGGTATATTTGACAATAGTGAGTAAAAATATGCACATTCTTTACTAAAATGATAACTTTCCAAGATTGATTTATTAAATGAAAAGTTACAAGTTGTTGCCTATTAATTCAAAAACATAGGTTGAAATTACAATTTTTTTGAAGTTAATTGAATGATATTCACAACTTTTTAGATCTCAACTAATGGAAGACACCCAAATTCTTTTGTGAGAGTTAACAGTCAGGCAGACGGACCCGAAACACTATTTGAACAAAAATGCATACTTATTCTATTAAATGTCATACTTTTTAATTATGTTATTTTTATAAAATATGACTTTTTCTAATGAAAGTATGTGCATTTGTAAAAATAATATATCAGCTTAATGGTTAGCTACCCGTCAAACATAAGACCAACCATTATCTTAATTTCTAAAATTAAAATCATATTCTCTGAACTGAAAATGCTAAAACGACATAAAATACATTACGGCCTCGGAATCATTATTTGATGTATAGATGGAATCCTCTTGTAACTGAAAAATTTGTCATATTTTTTGGATATGCTTTTACTTGAAAAAGGAATTTGGTGAAATTTCTATTTAAATTTTAAGGCTGGTGGAAATTGTGAAGTAGGATCGTCCTTCACAACTACAAAGGTCGCATATATGTCACTACTTCATGGAATTAATACTTTATATAGAACTAGAAAAGGCTGTGTATTAAAGAATGATTTCAATATCACTGTTCTTTGAGATTTGATGTTCCCACTAACTTTTCTTCATTTATGCCGGTGGTTAAAGATATATGACTAAAAACTTTTCTGACTTTATTTCAAACAATAGTTATTTTATTAAGTTGGGTAACGTATTCTTTTAACACACGTACACACTTTTATGTATACAATGTCTTGGAGCCATTATTTTATGTAGAAAAATGTTACATTGCCAACTTCGTGTATAATTAAATTGCCAACAACTTCGTGTATAATTAAATTGCCAATGTAACATTTAGATCGAATCTTGTTGTGACTGAAATTTACTTAAAAAAGTGATTTCTCGTGCTACATTTGGGCCCATTTTGATTTCTATTTAATTTTACGGTTGGTGGAAATTGTGAAAACGATCGTCTTTCATAACTACCCTTATATATAATTTCTGAATGTGACTGAGTTTAATGACAAAGTCGCATGTTTCAAAAGTTTATTTAACATAAATTTATACTTCGTATTTACACATATACAGGCTTGGTTTAACAACTAAGTTTGAGAATTACCATAAAATTATTTTACTTTTTCTTTTCTTAAATTAACATATATTACCTTTCCTTTTTTATTAATTACCATACAATGCATTTCTTTTTCTTATTTAATTAAGATATTAATTATTATAAATATTTATTCTCTTTATTATTATCAGTTTTTTATTTGTATAATTTTTTTCACATATGATATAACAAAATACAACTTTAACAAATTTTGATTTAATATTGATGTTCCATATATAATATAAAAATTATTTCTTATGTCTTTATAAATAAAATTTAAATTTATTTATCATACCAAATGAGAAATATCAAATAAAATTATAAATAGTCCAAAAAATAACAAAAATTAAATTTATTAATATACCATAAACAACCATTTTATTACATTGTTTTTGTAGATTTGGAAAAAATATAGAAATTGAGTATACACAAAAAATGAACATGGAAAATATTCAAAAATTTATGTCTCAACTTAAATAAAGTATGTATAAAGTTTGAACCTTATTATGATGTTGTATACAAAAATACAAATGGATATCATAATTAAAATTCAAAAATATAAATTTCATAATTTTAAAAATAGTACATTTGTATATATTAACTTATATTTTAAATCATCAAATATTATAAATTTAAAAATACTCAAAAATCAATATATGAGAAATCATTCATTACAATACAATGTGATTTTTAAGAAAACTACAAAATTCAAAATCAATTTCATGGTATTGTAGATAATGTTTGCTTTGGACATAAATAATTTAGTAAATATAACTAAAAATTACTATTTTTTAACAAATCAAGTGTCAAACACTGTTTCATGTTAAATAATATCACTCTTTTAGTTCTTCATTTTTTATAATTTACCAATAAGAATATAAGTATTTTATTATTTTTTTAATAAAAATATCAAAATTTTCAAGTACCCGTGTACTACACGGGTATCGTACTGATATATAAATATGTCACTACTTTATTGATTCAACTTTTGTCTCCTTGAGTTGGATCTTTTCAATATCAATCCTTATTGTTCTTTGAGATTTGATGTCCCCTGTTATTACCTTGTTTGGGAATATAAGAAAATGGAAGGAAAAATAAAGAAACAAATTCAATCGAGTCATGTGAGTATACATTTTTCTTAAGATGAAAGAACCACTTAAAATTATCAACGTTATGAATAATCTCTTCAAAATACCAAGTCTGTCTTTTGACTTGTGTACAGCAGTAACACAAATACACACACTCTATTTTGGTTTCGAAAATCTGAAGAATGAGATGAACATAAAAAAACCATAACATATACTATGATAATATAAACTTTAAAAATAATGCAAGGACTCTTAAAAATTGAAACAAAATGCGATAACACACGTGAGCTATTTATAAATGTATGAAGATGCAAAAGATTATGTGGCCGCCTGAAAGACACCTTTACGTATGTAACGGATGCGATGCATCCAAGCCCAACCGCTTCCTTGTCTAACTACCGAAAACTAAAATTATAAAATCAACACATTTTTTTTTTCTTTAATACATATCCTTTCTTCATAAATGGTGATTAAAGGTAAATATGATTGGAAAACTTTTGAGTTCAGATTTAGAGTGAGATCATATTGATGGCTAAAATTATAAATAATTTTGCCCTATTTTGTTCTTTTACTTTGTGCTGGTTTTTTCAAATTTAATTCATATAGATCAATGATATTGAAAAGATGGTAGAGAGTATAGAGTACGCAGATTGTGTTAGAATACGGAAATTCTGTATTATTAAACTGTGTTGCAACACAAAGAAACAAAACTTAAAAGCGGAAGCGATGTAAAAAATATATGTCTTCGGGGAGCATCCCACTACCCATCAGAGCTCTTTCATTGATAAATCGGTCTGCATCCCACAAAATATAGTTTGGACTTACTCGACTCGGACTCCCTCCTAGTCTAGCCAACACTATACCTGATCCTATCAACTAGTTCCCTGAACACGTCCCGTGGACTTTACTATAACTAAGAATTTCTCCCAGCTACAAAAGTACTTAATCCCTAAGCACTAAAAAGTGTTTGTAAAAGAAAAAGAAACTAAACAAACTCAGTTCTGCAGCAGTGTAAGAACGCTGAAAAACTGGACCTAATAAAATAAAATAAATACTCTCAAACACTCAAGTGAAGTTGATGAATGATGATCTCGATTATTGCAGTAGCTCCCTTCAATTGATTGCTTGGGTAGGCTTATATACAATCTCTTTAAGTTAAGGAGTCTTCACAAAGTTCTTCCTTCTCCTTTTAGAAGTCAATTTCCTGCTCAATTAATTCCTTTCAGATCTTGGACGAAATCCTTCATGTAAAGTAAGTGTCATTGATATAGAATTCGTGTATGTGATTTGGAGATTTTCAGAATTGAGCTTCCAATAGAAATCTTGTGATCCCAGTATGATGTAAGAACACAACTTTCCTAAAATAGCTGATCTTCCAAATCTTCAAAGATCTTGTGATGAATCTTTCCAAATCCTCCTTAGATCTTCTCATGAATATCCAGAACTCCTTATGCACGAATTGCTCATCTTTTCATAGTCCTTGCCACTTATTCGTTGTGCTACAAGAAAGAAAAAACTAATTATGACATAGAATCAAGTTCATTAATGCATGTGCCATATATGATAAGTACATATATAAGATATATATTATGTAATCCTTCTCCTAAAGGTTTAGGACTCCATAATACACATTATAATAAATATATAACATATATTATTAATAATAAATAATAGGAACTTAAATTAATTAACAAGTAAATAAATAGAATAATTTCCTTTAATTTATTTTGCTTATCTAATAAGAAAATCTTCTAGAAAACACTTAAATTTTTCGGAAGATGCCAAAACCAGTATTCTTACATATATTTTAGATAATTACACAAATATAGGCCGTCCAAACCTCAAAACTACACAAATAATGATATAATCTGAGTTATGGTCGAGTATTCTCAACGTACAACAAACAAAGCTGTGGACTCAAATTGATATCAACTGGATTGTTCTTCCCAATAGAAAATCAAAATATCCGTGTATGTATACACATGTACAAATAAAAATAGATTTACAAACATCCCACGTTGAGGATGGATTATTAAAATAAAGTGGTAGGTAGAAATAAAATGTTAGGTATGTTTGTACTTGTAAAAGACAACTATTTGTCCGGCTAATAGGCGGAATATCATTATTAGTTCTTGCCTCTTAGTCTTGGTAATCAACCCTATACAAGCCAAAATTAAGATCATCTGTAGACTTATGAATTTTTACTCCAAACCCGTTACAATATCACGCTTGCACACTACACTAATGCACTATTGTATTATGCTACACTAGTACACTTGTTTTGTTGTTGTTATTTTTTTTTTTTTAACGTATTATTATTACAATGTCTATGACTATATTAATTGATTTTGTAATTGTATTGAAAACCTTATTTACATATTTTTTTTTAGTAATATTCGGAATTAGTTGCAGTCCTGTCAATATTGTAGAATATATTTATTGTGTGATATAGAATATCTAATTAAATTGAAACGTATATTTGTCACGGAGTGCGCTGATTGTAGTAAGAACCAAAGTAAGAATTGTGAAATGCGGAAGCAAACAACCAAAGAATAATTAACTCTTCGGGGAAGCGTCTCACTTCCCCTCAGAGCTCTTTCATT